ATTCATCCCAGGAAACAGCCTGTAACTTGCTTCAGGCAAAGGCCCCTGCAGCCATCTGGAAAGGCACGCAAGGCCTCCAGGAAGAACCTGAGAGGAGACAGCGGCCACTGCCCTGTGCAGCAGTCAGTTCTCCGGCCTGCAAGAGGCTTCTGAGGCCCAACCAAGGGCTCCCCTGCTACAAATGACTTCCTCCCCTCCTCTTCCGCCCCTCTGTGGTTTGGCAAAAGTTCACAAAACTCCTGCCACCCCATCAAGAATTTGTTTCTAACCACAACTACTTTATACCAGGAAGTAAAGAACCTTGTTTTTAAGCACCTGAAAGGAAAAAAAAAAAAGGTGGGAACTTTTGTGCAGAATATTTGAAAGTCAATGAGATCCCTAGAAATGCCCCCCTGAACCTTTCTAGTCTATCACTGTCATGTTTTGTGGCTTCTTGATGGCCCAAGGTCATCTTAAATCTCCGGAAAACAATGAAACTACTGGGAAACTACAGCAGCATGAGGCCTTCACCCCCCAGGGATATTCTTAACTGTGAGTTTCAAGCACTCAGACCTAAAACAAAGCCCTCTACAGGAATACTTCTAAAACTCAAAACAATAAACTGGCACTTAATATTCATCTGGATTAGCCCTACAACATGACATTGCATGACAGACTCCATAAAGTTTAGGTTTTCCCTACTTCTCCCAGAACAGTTAGGAATTTTCCTATGCCATCCAAGACTAATTTTTTTATCTGGAATCAAAATTTCAGATACCATTTTGGCTAAATATTAATCTCACTAATTTTTCAAGTGCCCCAATTTCACAGGAATGAGGTTCCCAGCTTTCAGATTAATAAAATACTGGGCACTGCCACTGCTCAAGTCTTAGTTTCAGCAAAGCAAGGTTGTACTGATGAAAAGTTTTCAAAACCTCAATCTGATAGGAATTTAATATGAAAGAAGCCTGCTTCTCCAGCCTAGATGTTTGTCTTCATGGGCCTTTCCTCTTAAGGCCACATGTGATAGCAGCAAGCTGATGAAAAGTTTTCAAAACCTCAATCTGATAGGAATTTAATATGAAAGAAGCCTGCCTTCTCCAGCCTAGATGTTTGTCTTCATGGGCCTTTCCTCTTAAGGCCACATGTGATAGCAGCAGGAGAGAACGTGGGGTTACATAACACAGCACCCTGGGACTCTGACGGGGTTCCCCCACAAGGACACCACATCTCCCTTGGCAACAGTGCCGCCTTCCCAGGGAGCCCTAACTTCCAACAAGTCACAACAACACTTCCACACACCACACCAACTGCCACCATTAAGCATCTAGATGCAGCCACTTAGTAACAGTTGGGAATTTATTTTCATGGCCTAAGGGCAGTGTGGAAAAAAAAAATCATTTGGCAACAAAGGCATCCTGCACTGAGAGCCTGCAGCCCTCTGGCCCACATTCACTCCAAGGTTTCTTGTAGTGAACATGTAAAACATAGGACTTTGTGACCCCACAAAAAGCAGAATTAAGCAAAATAAAACTAGAGTGAAACTGACTGAAACTTGACAGCTGACAGCTTGACAGCTGACAGCCTGGGAGCTGAGTGTTAGGACAGATAAGAGTTTGCTGTGACATGTGTGGAATTCCCCCCGACCATTTGCTGTGACACGTGATTGCTGTGACATACGATTAAGAGTTTGAAGTGAGGTAATGGAGAGTGTTGAGGAGTTAACTTAGATAGAACATATGGATGTATTAGATTAGAGATGATTTAAGGTATAAAAGGAGAAGACTACAGACAGATGTCGTCACTTGACGACCCCGTCAAGATGACCTGCTGAAGCTCTGCCCGAGACGCAGACACTCTGTTCCAGATCCTGACTGCTGAGCCGAGGATCCTGGTTTCTGAGACGAGAGAACGAAATCACCTCGAGACCGTCATTGACATCGAAGTCGCGGCTCGACCCTGCGAAGCCGAGGACCAGACTACACCCACCAGGTCGTATGCCCTCACCTACAGCATGCTAGGACTTATGATTTGCCTAGAGATATTATGGGCTGGCATTATTTCTATATTGCGCTGGCAATTGTAGTTGTATCCTTTGTGTGGGCTTGTTTCTGTATTGTTAATGAAAGTAAAAGCATTTATGAAAACGAAACCGAATTGACAATCATTGATGCGCTGACCTGTGATCCCGAAACGCAAATCGGTGCTCGCGACAGTTTCTGCACTAATTTGGTTGGAAAACTAGAGAGATTCACCCCAGAATCATCTCCAATGTCTAATAACTCCTATTTATGCCCCTGTCAGCAGAATTTGGGAAGGACACACCTGGAAAGTAACATGGGTGCAGTTCTAAAGAAGGAAAAGGGAGGACATTTATTTTCTACCAGCAAGAGCCCGAGTGTTCTTACAACAGAGGTTCACATGAATCTGTTTTAGCCTGGGAAAAAAGAGCCATCTGGCCTAAAATCTGAGGGGAAGCAAAAGCCATAAGTGATATTGGTTCCGACAAGTTAGAAACACACAATTATACGAAATAAACACCTTTATCATGACTATGGAACCAGGAAAAATAACAGGTTTAATCATTCCAGCCAACATTAACTCCTTTAGTTCTACTCAAAATAATCTTTAAACATGCAAAGCCCTGATTCAGCTAGTCACACCTATAATCCTAGTGCTCAGGAGGCTGAGGCAGGTGTGTGAAGCTGCACAGTGAATTCAAGGCCAGCCTGAACTACTGAGTCTCAAATCAATAAATAAAATACAAAATTTTTTTTTTGGTACCGGGGATTGAACTCAGGTCCTTGCGCTTGCAAAGCAGGCCACCGAACCGCTGAGCTAAATCTCCGACCCCACAAACAAATTTTTAAAAAAGAAAAAGTATCTTCTAGATTACAGTCTCCAAATATCATACACACCAAAATAAAGCAGGGTCCCCTGGAAAAATGGCAGACTCCAGGCCTAGGGCAAAAAATACATAAAATGAGCCTAAAAATCTTGTCATACTAGGATGAGGAAGTGAAAGAGATAAACTTCCCTTCCCTAGGAACATAAAGTCTATGAATCTTTATTTAAAAAAAAATAAATAAGTTCACTGGGAACTTTGGGAGAACAGTGGATTATCAGCAAACACCATTTCCTCCTCTAAAACATGTTACGCTCATACACAATGACTGAGGAAGTGTCGGCCAAAAAAAGGTAGGGAACAGTCCCTGCAGCAGCCACCAGGGCCCACCCTGCAGGGAGCATTCTGAGGAGCAGGTGACCCTTGGTACCAGTGCCAGGGCAGCTGCCGTGAAGAAATTCATAAATAAGTCTAAATAAAACTGACCCATCACTCCAGGAGTGTTTTGTATTTTTCAAAGGGAAAAGTAATCATTTCCTCTGAAAAGCTGGTGGGATATGTATTGTAGGGACATTCTCATTGTTCTTAAACAATCTAAACACCCGTTCTACAAATTTTCTCCTAGGAAAAAAAGATCCCAATGAGAAGCACAGGGAAACAAGCATGTGCAGTGCAGGCATCAACTTCTCAGAAGCCCTGCATACCAAGAAGCCCAGGAAGTGGCACTCACATGTCTTCTTTAACAACTTCACTGGTTTCTCAAATGCAAGTATCAAATGTGACCACGTATGGTAGGAAGCTGATGCAGGAGAATTTGTCAGTTTGAGGCCAACATGGGCTACAGAGAAGAGTTCATGGACAGCCTGTACTACACTGGGAAGCCACTATCTCAAAAAACAAAAACACGGCCGGGGATTTAGCTCAGCGGTTCGGTGGCCTGCCTTGCAATCCCCGGTACAAAAAACAAAAACAAAAAAGAAAACAAAAAAACAAAAACAAACAAAACAAGGTGGGAGTGGTGACACACTCCCATGAAATCCCAGCACTCTGGAGCCTGAGAGACATAAGGTTCACAAGGAGACCAGCCTAGGCATCTCAGTGAGACCCAGCCTGAAAATTAAATGCAAATGCAAAAACAACAACAACAACCTCAGAAAAGTGAAAAACTTTTGAGAAAATAATTTTCTCAAAGCTACAAAATTATAAGCAGTTATTTCTTCTCTTTGTCCAATTATTTCAGTGAGGAAGACAACACAATTTAAAGAACATTGCACAAACTGCACATCACGGGTCTACAGACCAGACCCCCATTCGTATTTGTCCCGTCTGTGGTCTTGTCCACCCTTGGACCCAAGTCCTGGCCCAGCTACCACCCCTCCTCATCCCCAGAGGCCTGGGGCCCTGTACCACACAATGCATCAGGAACCATGCATGATACAGATGATGCAGTTGCCTAGAGGATTTACACTTCTATCTAACAAAAATCAAAGTTTCAAGATCATTGACACAAATCACAACTGAGTTCAAATTCAAGGGTGCTTCCAGTCAAGAAATGTTGCCTAAAAATTGTATCTGGTAGGTTGAAAAGGTTTAAATGGACAAACAACTAGTAGAACAGAAATCATGTAAATTCTTTGACTAAGGGTTTTCTGGGTTTGCTTTTTTTTTTTGAGACAAGACCTGCCTACTTAGTTCAGGCTGGCCTTCAACCACGTAGCACAGGCTGGCTTCAAGTTTACAATGAGACGCCTCTCCTGCCTCAGCCTGAGATTACAGTGTGTCAGCATGCCCTGCTTTGACTCAAGGTTTCATATACAGAACCAATTCTAAAGACATGGAAACCTCTACCATTCTTATTTACACATAAATTTGTATTTCATGGTTTAATTTCACATGTAACAGAGTCATACTGTACAGGACTGACAGAATTACATGCCATGGTTGAACAACTGGGTTCACATTCTGTAACTATAGTTAATGTATACATATTATCTATCTGTAATATTTTTATAGTATGCAAGTTGAGTCATATAAAATACAGGGAAAACAACATTTCATTTCACAATGAATCTTGATGATTAAGCAAGCAGCTGATGAAATGTCAACACCAAGAAAACAGACATTAGAAGCCGCCACACAGTAGGGCGAGGGAGCTCTCCAGTGACACCAAACCTACCGTGGTATCGTTGCTGGTGACATAGACCAGGACATCGGAGGAATTCCTGCCATTGATGTATCGGTAGCAGTTCCAAACACAGCTAATCAAGTAACCCTGAAAAAGGGGTCATTAGACTTTTAGTTTCCAAACTACAGACAATTTAAAGTATCATGTACAGTCATATCATTAAATTTTTTATTTACATTAACTAAACGCACATGTTAACTCCACTAAACCAAAAACCTTGTGGTGGCACTGGTGGTGGTAGGAGGGGTAGGAGACAAGAAGTCTGAGTAGAAGAAACTGCCTTTGCATTTTGTTTTGTTCTCAGAAACAAGATCCAGGCTGGTCTTGAACCCACAATCCTCCTGCCTCTGCTTCCATGTTTCTAGTAAAAGGAATTTCTAAGTAAAGGAACAACCACCACAAATATTCAAGAGAACAATCAAAATCATTCACCGATTTATCACTACATTTTATTTCTTGTTTCTTTGGGTATCTTTATTTTACATGACTGTCTATGATATTATTACTACAATCAATTTTTTTGGGGGGGTACCAGGGAACAAACTCAGGATCCTGCGCTTGCAAGGCAGGCAAGGCGCCACTCCGCTAAATCCCCAGCCCTACACTAGTGAATTTTTAAAAATCAACTTCACAGCATAGAAATCTACTTCATGGTCTAGGAAATTCACTAAAACATTTCCATTTTCATAATGATATAATAAAAAAGGGTATTTACTAAAATAATGTCCAGAATGAAACACAATACAGGCAGCTCTGAGGAACTGAGGCAGAAGGGTCCTGAGTTTGAGCTCAGCTTTGGTAACTTAGTAAAAATACCCTATTTCAAAATAAAAGTAAAAAAGGCTGGGGATCTAGCTCACTGCAAAGGCCCTGGGTTCAATTCCCAGCACTGCTCCCCACTGAACATAGGCTAGAAATAAAGTGTGAGTTTGTGGAAAATGTTTCAAACCATGAACTCTGCATTCATCTGTAAATGAATTAGAACGGAATTATTTCAAGATTCCTTTGTATCCTTTAGAATTATGTGATTAACAGAAATCTAAACATATAAACTGGAAACCCCATACTGCTACTGAGAAATGTGCCATGGAGCAGCCATATCCAAGTCTGGTAGACCTCACAAGGTCACACACAGTGCAGCAATCCTGCCCACAGAGAGGCACAGGACAAATGAAAACACATGAACATGCACGGCCTTGCTGTTCCCAACCACTGAACATGGAAGCAACCAAAATGTCGTCCAGCAGCCGAGTGGATACGCAGTGTGGTGGGTCCATAAAAGGGATATTCACTCCCCAAGGAAGAGGAAGGAAACAGACACTGGAACAACAGTAACAACCCTGAGACAGTGAGGCCAAGGGGGAAAGCCAGCTGCAAAGAACCACACATACTGCAGGACCCCATTTCTGTGAAATGTCCTGAACAAGTTCATCTACACAGAGAAAGCAGCCTAGTTACGGTCAGGGCGAGAGGGTGGGCGTAAGAATGAATGGCAATGTTGGGCACAGTGGCACATGCTGTGCGTAACCTTAGCACTTGGAGAAAGCTGAGGCAGGAAGATCCCAAATTCAAGCCCAGCCCAAGCAACTTTAAAAGCCAGCAACATGCTTCAGTGCTCTCGTTTCTTGCTTGACATTTCTGCAAGCCTGGATTAGGGAACTGAGGGTTTAGTATATCTCACCAAGTAAACTTTCGGGCACACCCTTCCCCCTTTCTGCACTACAGAGCTTCCCATTCCATCTTAGCGCAGAGCAGAGCTAAGCTAACAAAGGTCCCCATTTGGGCTCCAAACCGGCTGTGGTAATAAGCAAAGTAGGTGGTGAGAGCCACTGAACCAGTGAGCTGGTCTGGGAAGCCACAACCCTACCTCCGGGTTCCGGTGAACAGAAAATGAGCCAAGGCAGAAGCTCAGTGCTAGGCGGGAGACGCTGAGAGTGCAAGGAGGAAATGCAGTCCAGCCGGAGCAGGAGGCAGAGAGGTAAACACCTGGAAGAGGAGAGCACCTTCTCCTGTTCTCTCAGGCCAGAGACCATGCCCACCATTTGTATGGTGCCTTTTCTGAGACTCTGGGACTGAACCCAGACAGGGGTCTTCTACAAGCTTCATTCCCAGCCACTCTTAATTTTTTACGGGGTTCTCCAAAGTTGTCCAGGCTGGGCTCAAAACTGCGATCCTCCTGCATCAGCCTCCCACAGTGCTGAGGATAAAAAGCACATACTAACACACTGGGCTGGAGACAATGATGCTCGATTAATACACGGCAGAGATTTTTCTTGTTCACTACCAAACCCCAGAACACAGCACAGCACACATAAACCCCACAACACAGCCGTCCCCATCTTCTGGGATGCCTGAAACAAGGAGAGCACTGAGCGCTGGAGTGTCCATCTGCTCCCTACACTCACACACTTACGTCAACAGTTCATCTGCACTTCAGGCACGCTAAGAGGTAGTAAGTCACGCCAAAATACAGAACTCCACGTTTAGTGTATTTTGGACCTTGCTTTGCCACTGGTAACTGAAACTTCAAGAAATGAAACCTCAGATGTGGAGGGGCTACCACGCTCACTGAATAAATGATGCACTTTCCCACCCATCGTCTTACAGTCAGCCGCCCCGCAGGGCCGTTTATTGATTATCACTGCTATTTGGTGAATCACGAAACTGAGGCTGTGGCTGGCAACCACAGGGACAGAGAAGCCAGCCCAAGGTCCTGTGACTCAGAACTGGAAGCACGGATTTCCAATACAAAGATGCCTAGCTAGAGGACGCCCCACCTCAGGCTTGTGAAGTAAACCGCGATTTCACTCCCAGTATACAAAGTCCATCAGACTCGGCCGCACGTGCACCTAGCGCTCCACAGGCCTGTGCGAACCCACCACCTCCCCATAAATATTGATGTGATTTATGGGTTGCAGTCAGCTGTGTCTGAAGAGAACAAAAGATTAAGCCTTACTCGGTACCACTATAGGTTAGATGGTAAACTGTTACATATAACAGAAGTAAGAGGAATTGATAGACGTTTAATAACTTTTTTCTCAGAATATTTTTTTCCTCTTCTTTCTTTTTTTCAGGACTGGGAGATCAAACCTAGAGCCCCGTGTGCACTCCTACCACTGAGCCATACCCCTGGCTCCTCTCCAGTAAATCTTGAGAATGACAACTTACTGAAAAGACACTTCGACATTTTCAAGGGAAGATGCTCGCCATTAGGGCAGCAGAGGTGAGCCTGTGGCATGGGTGCCACAGAGGGCTGTTCGTGCCACAATGAAAGCTCTAAAAGGTTCGCCATCACTGCATGAGATGTAAGGTGTCTCGACCATCAATTTAGGGTACTTTAAGACATATAAATCAAATCCTAAAAACAATCACAGCATTTTGAATAGATTTACTGAAGAGAATTATTTTTTCTTTTCTTTTGATACCGGGATCAAACTCAGGACCTTGTGCTTGTGAGGCAGGCAGTGGGACCACTGAGCTAAATCCCTGGCCTACCAAAGAGAAATTGACATCGAAAGAAATGTTAAAAGCTGGGGAGAAAAAATGCCTACAAAGTCAAGGCTTTTCTTTTTCCTTTTTCTTTTTGGCCATGGTCTTAGGGACTGAACCCGGGGCCTTCAAAGTTATATCCCTAAGCTCTTTTTATTTATTAAAATGAGATCTCCTTAAGCTGCCCAGGGAAGACTCAAACTTGTAATCCTCCTGCCTCAGCCTAAGGGCCAGCTTTGGGGCTCCTGGTAGTGGCAGAGGAAGCCTGGTTATAGTAACCTTCCTGCAGGCCAAAGTTACAAAATCTGAAATATACAATCATACTTTTAAGGCATGACCAAGTGATCAAAAGCAAGCACAAGGGCTGGGGATTTAGCTCAGTGGGTCCACTGCCTGCCTTGCAAGAGCACAGGCCTGAGTTTGATCCCCAGTACCAAAAAAAAAGAGCAAGAACAACAAGCTGGGTATGGCTGTGCATTCCTGGGAGGCTGAGGCAGGAGGACTGAAAGTTTTAGAACAGCCCAGGCAACTTAATAACAGCACAGGCAAGACTGTGCCTCAAAATAAAGAATAAAAAAGGGCAGGGATGTAGCTCAGAGGGATGGCCCTAAGTTCAATTCCCAGCACCAGGGTTGGGGAAAAAGCAGGCAGAAAGGAAAAGAGAATCTACCCTTGACAGAGGAGCCCCAGTGCCAACTCTACAAGCAGCTTCACAGACATGGATGGCAGAGGACAGCAACAGGGACAACTGAGTGACAGGAAGTTAAAAGTGGAGAGTGGGACTACCAAGCAGTACAAGTCCCACACCCTAACATCCACGAGCAACACATCCTCCCAAACCCTCACTACTGAGCCACGTGTACAATTACTTAAAAATTCAGAGTGTTTGCCTCGTGGCAGCAAACTGATGTGATTTCTCTTCTGCTTTTCTTTTTTATGTTTGTTTGGCTTTTTTGGTACCAGGAATCAAACTCGGGTCCTTGTGCTTGCAAGGCTGGCGGTGGAACCACTGAGCTAAATCCCCAGCCCTTCTCTGCTTTTCTTGGTGCTGGGGGTTGAACTCAGGTCTTTGTGCAGGCCGAGCATGTGCCCCACTTCTGAACTGTACCCCAGCTCCTCTTCAGTGCATCATTTTTTTTCTCTCACAATATGACCTTTACTTAAGATGACTTTTCTCCTTAAATGCAGCTTCCTGAAACTTGATTTTTGAAAAATGGAGCAATTTGATACCAGAATAAAGGTAACGAAAAGTATGAGATGTAAAAGTCCAAAGTCTGCTGGACATGGTGGGACAGACCTATAATCCCAGCATTTGGGAGGTTGAGGCAGGAGGATGGCATGAGGTCGAGGCCAGCCTGGGCTACAAAGTGAGTTCAAGGCCAACCTGAACTACATAGTAACACCCTGTCTCAAAAAGCAAACAAAAAGTTCAAAGCCTAAGAACTAATTGAGATTTTCCTGTTAGCGGCTGTGAATTGTAACTTTTAAATAATAAGACAGACAAAAGTGAGAACACACAGGTAATACCTGACTGACAAAGGAGAGGGGGCACTGTTGACGAGTTATTTAACTTCTGGGGAATCAATCTGCCAAAGGCCTTCAAATTATGCATGTCCTTATTTTAAGAAAATATATCTTGAAATAAATGTTCATGTATCACTCTAGCACTAATGTTAGGCATTTGCTTCAATGTCCAGTAACTGGTAATTAGATAATGATATTCATAAAAATGGATTGACACTGAGTATTTTAGAACACGTTTTAAAAACAAGTAATAGTCTGGGCATGATGGTGCACACCTGTCATCCCTGCACTCAGAAGGCTGAGGCAGAAGGATCGCCACAAGTTTGAGGCCAACCTTGGAGACACAGTGAGTTCAAGGCCAGTCTGAACTACATAGTGAGACCTTGTCTCAAAAAAAATGTCTATTACATGAGACATTGTAAGGAACATTACAGTATTATATATTATATAATGTATTACACGGTATTAATTTCTTCCTAGCCAAATATAATTTGGAATAAACCTTGGCTGGCATGTGTCCTTGATTCTGGTTAGTGTCTGTCCCTCACAGAAACACTGTAGGAGAAACTATGTTAGGAAATCAAAAAGCAGTTCAAAAATGAACTAGCCAGTTTTTCTGTGGCATTCAGGAATACATTTAATATTTAAACCCTAATTAAAATCTTGGCTCACAGAGGTGTGATGCTTCTCAATGGGGAGTCCACTGATGAGTTTATAGGTGGATGTGATGCTGGGAGGGGAAGCCTGGTCCAAGGACTTGAGTCCCTCAGGGCATGGCCCGGAAGGGTCTTGGATCCAGTCTACTATTGACCAAACCCTCTACAACTGTGAGCCAACATAACCCGTTCTTCCTTGGAGCTGCGGGCATTGGGTATTTTGTATTGCAGCAACAAGAAAGTAAGACATCAGGCCAGGGATTTAGCTCCATGGTTCTACCGCCTGCCTTGCAATTGCAAGAGCAAGGACCCGAGTTCGATCCCCGTTACCACCCCTGCAAAGACAGACATCAATGCTTACCTTAAATGTCAAGATAATGCTGATAAACAGAAGAATAATAAGGACCAAGCAGGTAGGGTTCACCGACATGACATCATCTCTGTAGGGGAAATTAGGAGGCTGTGAAAGAAAAGAATCTCATTAGCAAATCCCGAGATTATATTCCTTAGGCATCAATTCAGATGTGCTTATTCAGAAAGCAACAAGTAAGGGAGACAATTGTTATTTGGGACCAAAATAAAATTTTTCATCTACCTCTCTATTCAGGAGAAAGGTAGCAGAGGCGTAAGAGAGGCGGGCCTGTTTTTAATCTGGGAATAACTCCACAAAAGGAAGAGTAAAGGACTCAGTGAGCCCTAAAAATGGCACTCTGCCCTCCAACCATACAGGGAGAATGTGTGGTCTCCATCAGGCTATTTCCTGCTATCAGGATTTGCTGCAAGCTCTGAACCTCCTAAGGGGAACGCACAAGGCAAGGGGGAGAAAAAACCTACTATCATGGTATCTTCTATCCACCACACACTGAGTTGGGATAATGGATCAGTGGTACAGCACTTGCACAGTATGTGCGCAGCTTTGGATTTGGTCCAAGCAATGCAATGAAGGAACCACTAAAGTCAAGTCTTGCCACCTGACCACAGGTCACAGGAGGATCTTCTGGAGGATCCAACCCTGCTATGGCTGGCGTAAGAGGACTCCCCACACACCTGCACGGCCTGCCCTGTGCCCACGGGATGGCTGGGTGTAAGCACACACAAGGCTGTCCTGGGTGCCACACCGCTGTGTCTTCACCGCCTGATACTATGTCTGTGCTCTGCAGGAGCAGGACTGACCCAGGGGCAGAGCTGGGAAAGGGTGGGAGCCAACCGTGACCCGCGTCTGCTGCTCCTCAGCAACACCACTCTCAGTGCTGCTCTCACGTCTTCCACTTTGGGCAAAATTTTGAAGAAAAATCAAAGTCATTTTCTGTGATCTGCTCACGAAACCCCGGGTTTTTGTAGTAAAGATCCCAAAGGGCAAGCATAGCTTGGTGTTACTTAGAAGATCAAGAGACCATACTGAACGTGCTTTCTGGACCCCTTCTGTCTCTCTTGGACAGAAACTATCTCTCTCTCTCCCAGTAAATTCTCCCTACTGGGGAGGGAAAGAGAATACTGTTTGTGTGGTCTAATTAATGAGATCCGAGTGGAACGAAGTGCACTATCCTTTCCACAAAGACCTTGCTTGACACTCTTTTCCCCCAGAAAAGTGGACATGGTTTTAATGCAAGTTGAGATCTAGTTTTACAATGAAAGTAACACCTAAAAAACCTACAAACTTGTGTCAACTGTGTTAGGGTTACTGATGACGTTTGGCCTTGAGAATGGCCCACACTTGTCTTTAATACAACACGCAGGAGACATTTACTTCTGTGAGTGGCTTGAGATTACCAATAAAAGTAGATGGTGTTTTTAAAACTGATCTTACATTACTGAAAGACGTTACTGAGCTGTCTGTGGCTCTACAGGATGGAGACGAGCAACTGTGGAGCAGGAGGAAGTCAGGTAGCACTGTGAGGTCTCTCCTCCGAAAGTTCTCTGCAGGCCACCATCCAGAACAAACCGGTGGTCAACTTCCTGTCTCCCAACCGGCCCTCACGTGACAGATGCTGACAGTCTTTCCTCCTAGTGCCCAGCACCAGGTCCTGACAGCAACACATCCTCAGCAGAGGTGATTCTGCACCTGCTTGTCAGGTACCGTGTCCCCTCCGCAGGACACTTACTTAGCTATGCCGCCAGAGGTACAGCAGGTAATGTGCAAAATGGGCACATAGGACTTTCCCAAGGCCACGCACTACCAAAACATGGACCTATTTTCTAAACAAGGCCCAGGGATTTAGCTCAGTGGTTCCGCCACCTGCCTCACAAGCACAAGGACCCAAGCTCAATCCGTGGTACCAAAACTAACTACATAAATAAATAGCTGCCTGCGTCAGGCATGGTGGTACACACCTATAATCCCAGCACTTTGCAGGCTGAGGCAGGAGGATTGCTGAGTTTGAGACCAGCCTGGGATATATAGTGAGTTCCAAATCAGTCTCAACTACATAGTGAGACCCTGCCTCAAAAATAAATAAATAAATAAATATCTTCCCTTCTATTTTCTAAAACAAAGGAAAGCTGTTTCTAACACAAAAAAATGACAACCACAATAATGTAAATACTGGCTTTGTGGTTATATTTTACTTGTTTTACTTTTAAAAATTTTTTTATAATGCTGGGGATCAGAGACTTAAAAATAATTCACTTTTTTTTTTTTTTTTTTTTTTAACCGGGGATCGAACTCAGGAACTTGTGCTTGTGAAGCAGGTGGTAGAACCACTGAGCTAAATCACCGGCCCCAAAATACACACATTTAAAAGTTTAAAGCCAGCCAGGCAAGGTGGCACAGACCTATAATCCCAGCACTGTGGGAGGCTGAGGCAGGAGGGTCCCAAGTTCAAGCCCAGCCTGGGAAACTTACTGAAATCTTGTCTGGAAAAGAAAGAGATGCAATATAGCTCAGTGCAAAGGCCCTGAGCACAATTCCCAGTACCATACCAAAAAAAAAATCCCAATTAGTAGCACATAAGTATAAATTATAAATGACCTTTTTTCTTTTTGAGACAGGATCTTGCTATATAGTTCAGGCTGATGTTGAGCTCACTATATAGCCCAAGCTCGCCTCAATCCTGTGGCAATCCTCCTGCCTCGGCCTTGTGAGCACTACGATCACAGGCATATGCCACTATGCCAAACTTAAGACAACACATCTTTTATTAGACTGACAAAGATGACAAAGTATAGGTGCTATTCAACTGATGAAGATATGAGGACACAACTGACGGGAATGACAAGTCTTTTAACTTCTGGGGGCTTGCTCTGGTCCCCCCAAGGACAGCAGTGTTTGAAGAGGGAAAACCCACTTGCTCTATGCAAGTGCTACATCACTGAGCCACATACCACAGCCCTCACCAGTTCGTACTCTTTTTTTTTTGTACCAGGGATTGAACTCGGGTCCTCCCACTTGCAAGGCAGGCAGCGGAACCACTGAGCTAAATCCAGCCCTAGTGCATATTCTTTTAAGTAGCAAACCAACAGGGCTTTCTTTGTGTGCTGAGTGGCCAGGTGCTGTGTGCAGGACAATCAGGGCGCAAGTGTCACCAGGTCACAACCTCCTCCATCGCTTACCAGCTGCCGTATGTACTCCTGAATGGAGTTCGGGTACACAAGCACGGTGACCGCAACCAAAGCGTTGAGGGCAAAGTCGAAGATCTGGTAACAGAAGAACGGGATGATCCAGGCCGCGTGTTGCTGAACAGGAGAAAATAGGAGGTTAGTGTCTTCCGTGTTACGAAGCAGGATGTTGCTGAGTTCAGAGACCGACCAGGTTGGGACGGTGATCGGTTTGCCACGCAGAAGCAGGCGACAAGAATTAGCAAACATGTCTGGGAGAGTGTAGTGCCGCTTTCTCTGGATTTTCTGGTACTATGACTTGCACTTCCAGTCTTACAGACAACCTGGAGTCCCATCAGTGGTGGTGAACCTAAAGCACTCATGCCACAGCAGGCTGTCTGCATCACGGAAAGCTCGGTTCGCCATCACTGGTTTACACACAGCAGGGGCTGAGGGAAGGGCCCGGCATCTCACCTTGTAGGCTCCGTAAGTCGCCATGGCACAGATCAGGATCATGAGGAGAGAAATTGCAATGGCAATGTACATGTCTGTCAAAAGGTCAAAAAAGACAATTAGCAACAGAGCCACTGTTTACAGTCTGAGTTTCTCCTTAAAGCCATTTTGTTCGCAAACCAATTGTAAGTGAAAACTTTATGCTAAGGAAACCACCAGTTTTGAGTGGATGAGAGTTAATGGTGGTAGAGTGTCCAAAAGATGTTTTCCAAAAGACATAAAAACGACTGTAAATAAGAGATTAGGAAGACAGAAAACACGCGGCTTACAAATGTCAAAGTAACTGGCCTTCTGACCTACTATATACATATAAATAATTACAGGAGAATGAGTTGGATATTCTTTGAGTTCTGTAAGGGCCTCGCTTACATCCCATAAACTCGCGTGTACCCCTGGGCTCTAACTGAGACTTTCCCATCGCTTCCCAGCTCCTTTGAATCAGTCTCAGCTCTAGGCAAAGTGATGGCCTGATCACGGACTGCGCCTGCTCTCCAGCCCTGTTCACCACAGCCCAGAGGCACCATGTAGTTCGTCACACACGACAACACACAGTACTGGCTAGGAGCAGTGGCAAGCGCCTGTCATCCCAGCATAATGAGTTCAAGGCCAGACTCAACTATAAAGCGAGACCGTGTCTCAAAAACAAAACAAAGCAAAACTGAGTTTGATCCCCAGCATCAGAGGGAAAAAGAGAAGATCACATTACTATGGGGCCCTGTGGCCGCAGGTCCCAGTGACTAGAAGTAGCTTCGCCATACTGTCACCAGCTCAGCACCTCTTTTTAATCATTCAGGTCCCAGCTCCCAGCTCCAATGTCAACATTCAGAGAACTCCCTGAGTATTCTAGCCTGGCATCAGTCACCTTCCTGTGGTGTTATCTTTACAGCACAGACCACCGTGGTCTTGTTTCTACTTGGTACTTGTGTACTGTCTGCTTCCCTCCAGCAGTGACCTTCCTGGTGGGAAAGACTTCACCTTGTTCCCCACGACAGCCACCATCCAGCCAGGTGAGGCCACCCAGTACAGTGGTCACGAGCAGCAGGGAGGCACAGAGGACTTGAAAGGTCACTGTGAACTGAGATGAACAGAAAGATGAACGTGCACCCCAATTTCAAGGTCTTAGTACGATGAAAAGAACGTAAAATGTCTCAACCTTTTTATAGTAAGGTTATTATCTTGGAGATATAAAATGAAATATTAATCTCACCTGTTCTTAGCTTCTCTTAGTGTGACTAAAAAAATTTTGTTACGACTTATGTGGTTACAATATATTCCTACTGTCAGTGCTAATCTAGGACAATGCTTACATCATAGTAGGCACTGAATGAACATTTGTTTATTCGGGTCTATACATATAAGAATCTCTCTTTTTTATTTGAGCAGGGTCTCACTATGTAATCCAGGCTTGCCTTGAACTTGCAGCAATCCTCCTGCCTCAGCCTGCTGGGTGCTTGGATTTACAGGTGAGCGCCACTACACCCATCTAGGAGATGCTGGTTACAAGTACAGCATGGCTAGGGCACCATATATGAGCACAAGACCCATGCAGGGAAGTATCTGAACAGTGCTTGACAGTTTCAAGGCCATTTGTTAAACAAATGTTTCATCCTCTTGCCTGGGTTAGATATTCCTGTTCTTATGAACAGGGCTCAGGAACCATATAAATTTCCGAGACAGCATCTGTATCAAAAGGCTGAACTATGACTTTGAATCCCTGGCTCTTCCTGCCACACTGCACTGGGCTGCCCCAACCCTAACTACCCAAGGACCAAGCTGGGCCATACTTCCGGTCGCTTTTTCTCCAAGACCAGAACACTAGATTTATTTACAGCCAGCCACCCGCCCCTCCGATTCCTCAACTTTAGGGTTGAGAAAACATTTCAAGCACATTTGAGGACAGAAATGCAGATGCCATCTTTAAAATGTTACTGCTCCTTGAGTGAGTCTACAGATTGTAGGGAACAGTGTGAAGATGCTGATGCTCTCTCTTTAGAGGTGAGCAGGTGAGTCTCAAAAGGAGAAAAGAGTGAGGTGAGAGGATCAGAAGACAATCAGCATCTCTCCTTACTTACAAGAGTACGCCCTCTTTCAAGACACAACATAAACTGAAATACATGTATGCACCTTTAATGTTTACTTAGCCTCACGTCATTCTTGGGTCAGTGGGGAGGCCATGCTTGAATCCACTTCACCTAAGGCCGAGTGACTACCTCCTCAAATGCAGAGTCTGCCTGCACTGCCAGCTTCCCAGGGCTGTTTGCACAAGGGCGGCTTGCATTTCCTGCATGGAGCCAGCACCACACTGGGCGCCCACAGCCCTGCTTCTCCTTTCCCATCTCTAAGTGTCATTTCTCCCCAATAAACTGGCCACTGTTACCCCATTTACTTCTTCCAACAGCCCAGTGAGTGAGGAGTGGATGGTAACTAAAGCACGGGACAAGTACCTTAGCCAGGACTGCCCAGCAGAGAAGCCACGGAGCTGCCCGGCTGTGAGGGGGCGGAGGGCTGGACACTTGTGAGAGGAGCGAGACATCAACGCGCTTCGCAACTGCACAGCCTGCAAGTCTGCAGCATCTCAAACTTGAACTCTCAGTTATTTTCTTGTCTGACAGTTTTCCAAATTTTATATGAGCGTATTTAGTAATAAAAAATGGAGCCTTTGTTCTAAAACTAAAAACATTAACTGAAAAAAATAATCTTAATGAAAACTACATAATTACTCCAAAAAGCCCCACAAAAACCCCAGAACTAAATTTCACTTAATCTTGATTTGTTTTTGTTTTGAGACAGGGTCTCACTACAGTTCAGGCTGGCTTGGAACTCACTATGTATCCCCGGCTGGCCTTAAACTCGAGTGATCCTCCTGCCTCGGCCTAGCGCTGGAATTACAAGTATGTGCCACCTCCTCCAGTTTTACCCTAATTTTAAATTTTTAAATTTATGTTTTCTAAAGGATGTAACACTAAAAGAAATATAAAAGGCATAAATTTAAAATATAAAGTATGGAGGCCAGGCATGGTGGTGCACTCCTGTAATCCCAGCACTCGGGAGGCCAAGGCAGGAGGATCGCTGTGAGGTCGAGACCACCCTGGACTACATACATAGTGAGTTCCAGGTCAATCTCAACTACATAGTGAGACCCTGTCTCACAAAAACCAAAAACCAAAACAAAAGAAAACAAAAAAAAATAAAGTATGCTACTGAAGTAGAAGAATAAATACGGGTAGAAAAAAAAATAAACTAATTTTAAAGTTGTACTTTTAGGAAAGCTGCAACTGCAGGACAAAGTTACCCAAGGTTGCTATATTTTTCTCCTTCTTGTATTTGTCCTCAGAGTCTAAACTACAGAGTCTATAAAACAGTCCCTTGTGTTTCACATGTAGATCATGCCCTTCACTGCTTTTCAGCTGCAGATTGGGCAACAGGTTTCTCCAGATTCACAGTCTCCACAGATTTCCATCCCAAAACACACCCCAGACCCAGATCCTCACGCACCTCACCACAGAGCAGGCCCTGCTGTGCCTTCTGTAAGTCAGCCTCTCACCGGCATCCTGTAATTCCTCTCTGTGATGTAGTCAGGGAACCTAGAAACTACCCCAGCAGTGAGGCAGTGAGCTCCCCATCTCTGAGGCACGTCCTCAGACCCTGTCTGGTGACACTATCCCCGCTCACTCATAAGGTGCTCTTTACTATAAAAAGATTAACCTGAAGCCAGGCATGGTGGTATCAATAATAAAAAGGCTACAGACTGGCTCAGTGCAAAGGCACTGCGTTCAATTACTAGTACTGAAAAAAAGAAATTGAGATGAGGAAATTTTCAAAATTCTATTCCTATAAGTAATTGTACCGGAGTGGGGCGTGATGGCGCACGCCTGTAATCGCAGCACTTGGGAGGCTGAGGCAGGAAGACTGCTGTGAGTTCGAGACCAGCCTGGGCTACATAGTGACTTCCAGGGCAATGTGAACTATATAGTGAGACCCTGTCTCAAAAAAAAAAACAAACCCAAAACACAAAGAATAAAAAACAAACCCAAAAAGATAAAATAATTGTACCGGGCTAGGGATTTAGCTCAATGATTCCACCACCTGCCTCATAAGCACAAGGACCTGAGTTTGATCTCTTGTACTAAATAAAAAAATAAAATAAAATAAAATAAAATAATTCTACCGGCTACACTCAATGCACTTAATGCATCCCAAACATGCCAAAAAGTTTGGTACACCCAGAATAAATCAAAGATAAAATAGGCTACTTACTATACACTCATGTCAAGCAATCCAAAACACCCACTGGCCCTTCTGAAATAATGTGTAGTGCACAGGGTAACTCCTGAGGAGTCAAATATTCACTTCCTAGTGTGTGGGGGTGGCGGGGGGGGGTCTTTCTCCCAGTGCTGGAGATGGAACCTAGGGTCTCCCACATGCTAGCTAAATTCTTTACCATTGATCTATGCCTTAGGCCAAATTCATTCCTTCCAATAACAAATGTAAGTGAAATGGACCTGATAATATAAGGGTTTTTGCAACTGGGAATAGTTCTGGTCAGTGACAGGACTGTCCTTTAGTTACATATCTTAGTTACTTTTCTCTCATTGCTGAGGCAAAATACCCAATACCCCTAAGTTAAGGGAGGAAGGGTTTGTTTAGTTCAGTTTGTAGAGGTTTCAGTCAGGAAGTGGCTGGGGCCAAGGCAGCGTGGCATCAAGGACAGGTATCGCAGAGGAGAAACAGTTCATGGTGGGCAGAAGGTAGCAAGCAACAAGGGAGGCCAGAGCTCTTTCTATCCTTTTTATCTTCTCCAGGCTACTCAGGGTGGGCAGCACTCACACCCTTAATCCTAGTGCCCTTAATCCTGGCACTGCACCCTATCAATTCCAGGGTCACACATGCTAGAGCAGCCACCTCTGAAAAAGCCCCGCCCGTGAGGCTTTGGGGGACATCTAGACAGACACAAGCCACAACAGTATCCTTTAACATGTTCCTGGTGTCAAGTGCATGACTGTGGCATCAGACAGTGGCACAATCACTTGTATCG